AGTGTAGATTGGGGCAGCAAGGCTGAGAGCGACTGCAATACAGAGCTGTTACAGATCAAGAGAGTGTGCCTTGATGAACACCTTCACTTGATACTTAATAATAATAATAATAATAATTTTTATTTAGGCAAAGGTACATACATAAAGAGATTTTACAAAGTTTGTTGGCTTTATAGATAGAGCTAGTACATACAATGCCTAAAGCCACTATTACGCAAAGCGTTTCGGGCAGTTGATTATTGATTCGGGACTTGATTATTATTATTATAACATTACATGTTATAATAATAATATTATTATATTATTATTATTATTATTATTATAACATTACATGTTATAATAATAATAATAATAATAATTTATTCACAAGAAAGTACAATAGGTTGGTGAGATTACATGACTGATATTCTTATATTCTTACAAAAACCACTAACACGCTTAGCATGTTAGTGTAATGTTCACCAAAGAGCAAAGTTTTGATTCACCACTACAGCATGATAGAATGAGTGGGTAGAGATGATGATGATGAAGATTAAGCCACCCAAAAGGTGGCACGGGCATGAATAGCCCGGAAGTGGTGGCCCTTTTGAGCCATTACCAGTATCAAGAGCTGATACTGGAGATCTGTGGAGGTGCAACTGCACCCTGCAGTGGGTAGAGACCTGTTGTTGTTTGTTTAAGATTCGCTACTCAGAACAATAAGTTCCAGTAGCACGGGCTACGGTGAGCCCGTATGGGGGTAGAGACCGAAAATGGCAATATATATATATAGCAACAGAGCAACTGCACCTCTTCTGACCATGTTAAAAGCATTTTAAAAGTCTAGTTTGATCCAAACCATTTGGTCAGAGATGTTGCTGGCAATGTACGCTCGTGTTGCTTGAGCGGCAGCTTCACACCCTTGAGAGATCCCAAATCCAAACTGTAATTGTTTACCAGCCGCTTGCTGGCTGACAACCCTTGTGGAAGTCTTGGCAACAAGATGTCGGAGTGCTGCCAACAGCGATCGGCCTTATATATATAATATATATATATATAAAATATACTGAAACCTATGTTGACTTCAGTGCTGCACAGGCAGGAGGTGCTGCCAATCACCGGGAAGCAGCCAAGTCATGTAAATACAGAGAACATAAGAACAAAAGTAACTGCAGAAGGCCTATTGGCCCATACGAGGCAGCTCCTAATAAGAACTAAGAACCTTGATCACCACTTGAGACCTTGATCACCACTACAATCTTGTCCCCATTGCCTCAGAGACACTTGGTGCCTGGGGTAAAAGAGCTGCTAGCTTTTTGAAGGAGTTAGCTAATTGAGTCCAAGCTAATTGAATCAACTAGAAACCCTAGAGCCGCCAGTTTTCTCTTTCAGCGCCTTAGTGTGGCGATCCAGAGAGGAAATGCTCACTGCATCCATGGTTCCTGCCCGCCATCTGAGGAGCTGGAGGAGCTCTACAACTTGTGACAAGTAGCCGTGTACCTTGCATGTAACCAATGTTCTAACCTTTTTTGTGTAATGAAATTTTAAAATAAAGTTAGATATATATACACACATACAAAAAGAATAGGGGTAGTAGGAGAAGAAAATATCAAAGTGTTCAGTGAGGATCCACAAGGTCTTCTCTGAGTACTCTTTATTTTCTTCTCCGAGGGTATGGGTCCCTACACGTGCACCAGAGGTGGTACCCCTTTTTGGTTTATACTAAAAAATACTAAAATATATAATTCACATAGAGCAAGAAGAGCAATGAAGGATTAACTAAAATAATGTTTTTAAAGATAGCAGAGTTAGCCTGTTTTTGAACAGGGGTTTAGAGCATATTCATGTTTAATGGATTATCACGTGATGTAAACTGACATCTCTCTCTACCGCCGCCGTTATCACCAATGTTTACATAGCTTAAAACACTGTTACCACCATTATCACCAATGTTTACATCGCTTAAAACACTATTACCACCATTATCACCAATGTTTACATCGCTTACAACACTGTTACCACCATTATCACAAGGGCCATTATTTTCACTATCATTATTACTTCCACCATAGTCATCACTATACTATCATTATTACCATCAATATTACTACCATTATCACTATCAATATTACCACATTTATCATCATTACCATCACACGACTTGATAATAGTTCAGGATGAACCGAATCGTCGTCGCTTCTCCATTTTCTGTTATGTGGTTTGGTCATCACAATTATCAACATGCTTATTACTACTGCCACCAATACCATCCATACTACCACCACTCCCACCATCGCTACCACCACTACAACCACCAACGCTACCACTATCGCTACCACCATTGCTACGCCCATTATTACCACAACCATCATTGCTACGCCCATTACTACCACTACCACCATTACTACCACTAACCTCACCATTACCACCACCACAACCACTCGACTCTTGGTAATCCTCTACTTAAGTGCAAGCTTAAGAGACGTGGTCGAGTGCTGAAGTCAATATACACTCAATGAATCTTTCTATAAATCTATAAGTGTCAACATTTATTTTTATTTGAAAAAAGCACATAGTATTTATCATGCCATAGTGGAACCTACTTGTATTAGTTTGAACGTACTCACCTAGTTGTACTTACGGGGGTGAGCTACGGCTTTAAGGTCTCGCCTCTCAAACCTTTATCGACTACTGTATAAGTTTCAGAGTCGATTAGGCTCTGTCAATTTGTTTGTGAATCATGTCCAACCACTTGGGCTGGACGGTTGAGCGACGGTCTCGCTTCATGCAGGTCGGTGTTCAATTCCCGACCTTCTTTGTGGTTGGACACCATTCCTTCACACCCCCCCCCCCCGTCCCTTCCCAAATTCTTATCCTGACCCTTTCCAAGTGCTATATAATCGTAATGGCTTGGCACTTTCCTCTAATAATTCCCTCCTTGTTCGTGTACTACCCCATACTATAGTCGTTATCCTGTCTATTTTCCAGAGTATTTCGTATGTGATATTCATAAGAACATAAGAACAAAGGCAACTGCAGAAGGCCTATTGGCCCATGCGAGACAGCTCCTATCTATAACTACCCAATCCCACTCATATACATGTCCAACCCGCACTTGAAACAATCGAGGGACCCCACCTCCACCACGTTACGCGGTAATTGGTTCCATAAATCAACAACCCTGTTACCGAACCAGTATTTACCCAAGTCTTTCCTAAATCTAAACTTATCCAATTTATAAGCAAATACAATTCGTCTTCATCTCAAAAAACATAAATTAATAAATTCATGTTTCCTGTTTCTTCTCTTCCAGTGAATTTACCTGATTATACTTAAGGGCCACCATCTCTCTACTGGCCTCGACGGGGACAGGGAGCTGGTGGAATGTCGAAGGTCTCCCCCATTGTTCCTGAACATTATTTTCCACCCCTTATGGGTGAAAAAGCATCTCCTATTTTCTGTCCTACATTGTGGCTTGATGAGCTGGAAGCTGTCGCCCCTTTCAAGCGTAGCATTCGACCATTTAATGAGGTCGTCTGACCTCATTAAAGGACAAAGTGGTCTTTGCTCTTCCATCAGTGCTTGTGGGTCATATGTAAAAACTTGGTCTGGCTTCAGTAGGGCCCTTCAGAATTCCTGTGATTTCAGTAGAAATGCTGTTGTGTGACTTTAAAAAGTCAAGGGTGGTCTAGTGGTAGTCTACACGGCATGGCAATGCCTTGGTCTTAGATTCGCGCCCACCTCACAGCCCTAGTAGATGTTTTCATTCAAGCAAATGAGTCGAAGTAGGGGAATATGCAGCTGTAGATAAACATCGGCATGCTTGTCGGTACAGTTAAGATCGAAATTCATGGTCCATGTAGGTGAACCAAACATATCATTACAGGTGTGCAAGGCAGGAGAGCCGAGCCGAGGGAGAGTATAATTCAACGATCTCTAGCAGTAGTGAGGGAGTATACAGCGCCAACATGACAAATCATCGAATTTTTATGGAATATAAAGTTGGTTACACTGAGTGACATTGGGGGAAGGGGTTAAGAATATCGAGAGGGTGGTCAGTGGGCAGTGCAAGGTCAGGGTGCAACAAAGCTCTTGAGCCAGCTTTTACCCTTAATATTGGGAAACAGATTTTCCAGTGGGAATTGTACATTCGTAATTAAAGGAAGTGAGCCTGTGCAGACAGGGTATCACGCCACTAGTGGTACTTTCCCACTCTTTTCAACGTAAAAAATGAATGATCCAAATATTACCAGAGCAGTATACAAGAACCACGCCACCAATTATAGTTCCCACTTCATGGATAGGATGTTTTCCTTTGAGCTCTATTCTCAAACACTGAATGATTCTATTGTATGATAAGCTTTTCTATTAAATTTCTACTAGTGGAGGTTTTTTTTTGTTGGGTTTTCATCAGAAATCTGAATATAAATGTCAACTTTTCATGCTAGCTACCAAAAATACTTTAATTAGTCTGATAATTTGCTGATTAAATAACATACATGTTAAGGTGTTCTTATGTATGCTCTTTGTAAAGCAGTATCTTGACTTTGAAATTAAATTGGACACTTTTGATGTCCTAATTTATCATGCCCAGATTAGTACATTTTTTCATATTATGGCAAGAATGGCTAGCAAGATTAGTCTTACATTCTAGTTCTCACTGCTCCTGTGACCTGTGCAACAAACTGTACCAACGCTCATGCACAATGAAATCATAGTAACGTGATGTATCAATGAGAATGTCAGTATAGGAACCGTGAGGAGGATTTGAACCTGCTCATACTCCCAAGCTCCCAATCACTACACCACTAGTACAAACAATACTTTTTCTGTTTATAAGTAATTATCAGAATAAAGTACCGTGCCAGGATGGCTACAGAGCAGCTTTTTGGACATTACAAATTTAATATGTGCTGAGGATGCGGGCTAATGTTTGTATATAGGTATACTCAGAATGTTGAGTGTACTTTCTAAGTTGACACTTTTAAGTATTCTCTATATGCATAGTGCTCAAGAATGAATTACCATTTAAATTTTTTATTTTAATACAGTATACTTATCACATGAAGTATGTTTTCATGAGAAAGATATATTTTCATGAAACATATACACTAATATGTTTATTTATTATTGTACAACAGAATACAGTATGCAAATTGAAATGTTTTTTATAATTTATTATTTCCTAATCACAGTACCAGGAACAGTCATTTGCACAGATATGGTAAAAACGTAATTTTACATCAAAGTGTGTATATAAAATTAATAAATATTGGAAGTAAAGCTTAAAAGTGATAAAATATTTCAGCTATTTTCCAGACACACTGGGATGTAAAGGTGTAACGTTAGTTCTCCGAGACAGTCCGAGTCTTAGTCCAGTGTTGCGGTTATTACCGAGCGATGATCTAGTGCAAGAACTTGAACTACTGTTCCCCGAAGACTGGAGTAAGGGACTTCTAAAGGGAGTTTTAACTAAACCAACAGACACTCTAGGAATTCCAGGAGAAGATGGGGAGGTAACTGTTTTTGAATCGACAGTTATTTTGGACTTTCCTCTGGCAAAGGTGCTGGAAGAGTTGGTTGTTTTTTCTTTGGACACAATGAGGGGACTACGAGGAGCCACTGCAGAAGGGCTACGAGGGGTCACTGCCAAAGGGCTACGAGGGGTCGCTGCAGAGGAGTTTCGATGTGGAGTTACTTTAGAAACGTTTTGAACGACAGCCAGAGACTGTACTTGAGGTGCATTGTTTTCCTTTGCTGCAGATGTTGTTGCTATTCTGATAGGAGAGCATTTCAGATTAGAACCTTTATTTTTTTCAGGTTTAGTAGTTGACTTTGATGATTTACCATTTTTTGTAGTTTTTCTCTCTCTAGTTTTTTTCTTCTTTGGAGATGGTGCAAAATCGCTTCCCTCTGAAAAGTCTGAGTCATGATTGGCACCTTCACTGAATCCATCAAAACTGTCAGAGTCAGTGTCTGAAATAACAATAAAATAATAAATAATAATCATCAGTTATTACAATAAGTAGTAATTTAAAGAATAACATTTTACCAGATTATTTTCTTCATTAATTATTTAAAACAACAATATGAGAGTATTGTATTAAATAATTACATAGTGTTGAATTAGAAACTGCTTAATTGTTTTAACTTAGTATTCAATAACGATTCTTGCATTCATTGAATAGGAGTATAAAGTATTGAATAGGAGTATATATTTCATGCAGGAAATGCATGAAAGCAGCAGATGCTGCAGAGACAGATACACAAGTTTTGAAAGCAGCAATGAAAAACAAATGGAGTGGTTACAGGAAATCAGACAAAAGGTATGCGACAGTGGAACTGAGCCAGAGGATTACAATAAAGCAATTATACCACTACAGTATATGAAAATAAAGTAGAAACATAGTGAGTGCAAGAATTACAGACATTACTTTAGAAAGTATAGCAGGAAAAATGCCTGGCTGGATAGTAATTGGAAGAGAGCAAATTTATTGAGACAATGGATAGCAATGAGACATGTGTATTCTGTGGTGGAAGAGAGTATGTAAATCAGATATTTACATCAAGACAATTTGTAGAGAAGGCATCCTGTTTCTTTCACTTTTATCTTTTCTTTTTTACATATTTAATTTACAAGTTAACACAAGTATGCACTTTTTCTAGCATACTGAGTTTTATGTTTTACACATTATTAGTTCTTGGAGCAAATACTTAACTTAGGCTGTGTAATTTACTAAACCAACTTTTGATGATCAGAAAATTACTTTAGTGCTTTATAAATTCTTTATCATTTGAAAGCTAATTCAATATCTGGGGAAATATACAGCTAACTCCCACAAGGAAACAAAATTCTTCCAGTAAAGAGAGAGAGAGAATATCAATTAATTTAAAAATGGACAATCTTTCAGCGTTTGTCAATCCACTACTAGATACGGCCTGCCTAATGCTGGGTAGGAGTGGAATGAAACGGCATAGTCACTGATGCAGCCCTTACCTAATGATGAACCATGTACTGCTTAATCAATCTTGGTGAGTAGTGTGGATATCTGTCTACTGTAATTTTATTATTTGTGATTTCCTAAGATATCAAATGATGCAAATAACTATACCTTCTTTGAATACCACCGTCTTCCTCTGCCTCTTGCTAGTAATCCCTGCAGATGTGCACGGTTGGGGTTCTTCGTTTTTGTTACCTGCATTACATTCAAGTTTCGTTACTTCAAGCAAGTCTGTGTGTGCTGCTGCTTCTTCCGTTATAACAGATGTTGTTATAGCAGATTTATCTTGTGGAGAGATTGGATACTTTTGCTTGTTTACCTCGGCATCCTGGTTTTGAACAGAGTCACTGAGCGGCAATGTGCTGTGTTTGGTTTCAAGAGTATCTTTTGACTCGGGCAACATGGAGCACACTGAACCTTCTGCCCTATTTATTGCTTTTGTGTCTACTGTCATTTTTCTTTTATCAGGTTGTTTTTCAAAATCAGTTGCATCTCCACTGTCAAGTCTCGATAATACAAGGGCAGCATCCAATTCACGCTGTAAAAACAATGAGGATAAGGTCACTTGTTCTTGGCCAATTAAAGCTAGATATTTATGATAAAGACTAGGGAACAAAATAATATCCTCATTAGTTTTTTAAAAAACCTAAGGTATAAATTGGAAGAGAAGTTTATCTTTCAAATGGCACCACAATCTTGTTTGAAAATGCATTATTTAGTGAGATTTTGAACAAAATATGTTGGTTGTTATCAGGCAAACGTGAGCAATACATAGATACCCTTTGCAAACAATAATTAGCAGAACAATGAATAGTAAATATCAATTTTTCAACTTCCAGTTAAGAAACTAAGCTACCCCCTGATGCCAAGCAGGTGGCAGCATATACAACCAAAACAAATCTGGCAAAGCTGGAAACCAATCTTCCAGTCCAGAATATCCAAGTAAGTTTGGGACAGAGGGGATAAAATGGGTGGGAATGAAGGCATCCACATGACTGGCTTAGATAGAAGTGTTTCACTACGGTTTTCACTCCTTCTGAGACCCATCAGATGCTCCCTGAGCCAGTGTACTGTTCAGCCAAGCTACAGGACATGAAATCAACAGGACACTTACACAAGCCGAAGATACAAAGGGAGAGTGGGAGCAGGTGGAGGTACATATGACAGAAACCATAGGAACAGATGGGCTATAAGCAGACCAGGGCTACATAGCAATGTCGAGGATAAACTTCATTGGGTGGAAGCAAGCTGAAAATGCACTGATCGACATCCAAAACCCACAGACACCCCCCCCCCACCCCCCCAAAAAAGCTTCACTGTATCACACTTTCTAAGGTTATGTGTACGTTAAGCATAGGGGTAACTCAGCTTAATCATCCAGCAGAAAAGTTTACACAGTAATGTCAGATCTTAATATCCAGTGCTTCTTAAAAGAGCAACTCAGTATTGTGGTGGAATGTTATGTAACAGTGATGAAAGGAAGGAAGGTATAATATAGATCAAAATATACATGTTTATACTGGTGACAATTCCATTATAAATAGGTGACATAACTACATGGCCAACAGCACGCACTGAGGTGTCCAACCACTTGACACATGCAAGTGTCAAGTGTGTAGATAGTCTACGTTGGTGCATGTGTCAAGTGGTTGGACACCCACTTGACACATGCACCAACGTAGACTATCTACACACTTTGGTAAACATCTTGGTACAAGCTGCATCAATATACAAAATTGTGATGTCATTTTATAAACTTCTCCTGTTGCAGTTCATACCATAGAGACTTCTGAAAGTTATTAATCATATTTTTAATGAACTTACAAAAACAAAAACTTTAGTGGCCGACTATGTTGAAAGGCTATGTATTTAAATGTAAACTTCATATGAGATATTAATAAATGTAAGTAAAAATAAGAAGCATGCTGTGGAAACAAAAGGTAATTACATCAATCGATTTATTTAGTTTAGGAATGAATTACAATATGCCAGATATTTGAATATTAATTGGTAACTTCTCCAGGACAACATTACGAAATGCAGCATGTTACCGTACAGAAATACTGTACAGTATTTCAAAACGCATAAAATCAATTTGTTTTAATGGGATGATATACAAGATAAAACATTAAAAAAAAAAAGTGCCCAGGTAAGATGTTAATGCTATAATTTTGTCATACTCTCAATCACAAAAGTGTGGTCAATGGTTATTAAACAATTGTTAGTGAAGATAACACACACTACAATATGGGCACTGAAAATGAGCAAATGTTTAGTAACTTTTGCAATACATATTATCCTACATGGAAATATAATTCGACTATAATCCATTGTATGTACTGTATACAGTATTGTGTTGCAGTGGAAAACATATATTTTTTTTAATTTATGTAATTCAACTATCTTAGAACATTTGTATACATTACATGCAAAAAACTGTAACAAAATATAGTACCACATTTCCTTACTTGAAACAATTTTTCTTCAATAGTTAGTCTCTTAGTAGTAGTTGTTCTGCTAGGGGATTTTTGGGTGGAAGTTAAAGAACAACTAAAAGATATTGGTGAAGTTGAATTTTTATCTAATTTACTCTTGTTGCTTTCTTCTGTTTTTTTGTCAATTTCCTTTTCTAAATACCGTTTCTTATCGTCACTGTATTTCCTTTCCTTATTTTCCCTTTCTCTATCATGTTTTGATCTCTCTTTCTCTCTGTCTGGTTTATCTCGGTACTTATCATCTCTTCTGTGCCTATGTCGGTCTCTATCCTTGTCACTGTCTCGACTTTTATCTTTCTCCTTTTTATCCCTTTCATCTCGACTTCTATCTTTCTCCTTTTTTTCCTTGCCATCTCGACTTTTTTCTTTCTCCTTTTTATCCCTGCCATCTCTATACCTTTCTTTTTCAGGTTTCCTATCATCCCTCTTTTCTTTCTTCTCTTTATCACTATGATAGCCATTCATATTCTTCTCAATGTCTCCAACTCCTGTTTTCTTTGTCATTTCACCAATTTCTTTCTTCTTCTTTGGAGGTGGTGTAAAATCTTCAAAGTCATCTTCTGCAAGAAAAATAAATAAATTATTTTCAAATGTATCTGCACGAGGTTTGGGAGGTAAAGTAACCTAATAGTTTTTTGTCCTTCTAAGGAATACATGTATCTATTTGGCAAAAATATTTCATTACTTTGATGTAGTAAAGTTGCTTCATGGACAAATATTAGGCCTAGTCATCATAGCACTCCTTGTGAATTTGTTTCAATTTAACAGTTTAAAAAACGAGTGGTTCTGATTTGGTACTGGAAAATTTGCTTCAAGATATGGTATACCGTTTCTTTGACCCAAAGATGTCAATAACAAAAGTCTCAATATCTATAATACTAATGCTATATATAAAATGCAAATATTCAATGATGATAAATATTAAAAAATATAAGAAGTATAAATATTAAGTAAATAAATAACTGATTACTGTAGCATACTAACTTACCATCTTTGGAATCACCAAACACTTCTGCATAATTCACAGATTTTCGGATCCTGTAAAGAAAAATTAATAAGTGATAAAATTTAAATGTAAAATAGATAGCTCAAAATATTACAGCGCTAAAATGCAAAAAACTGTAAAAAGCTAAAATGTGATCATTATTTGAACATATTAGTATATTAGTTGCTCTGATAAAATTATAAAATTACAGTATTGGGTGACATATGGAGAATATTAAATTTTTTTTTAAATGTTATAAAAAATATCACAACATTTTTATGCACCTTTAATTTTTGATAACGAAAATCATTCTTGGTTTCAAGCCTGGTGTGATGATTTCCACAAAATTAATAATTTGTTCAAGTACTTGATAGACTTTAATAATAATAATTATAATGATTCATTTGATGGGGACAGGAAGTCTTTATATATACACATACTTTATATAAGGCTTATATACATACTTTAGGCTTATATATATACAGAATTTAAGCTTATATATACATACTTATATGTATAGATGTGTATATATAAGCCTATAGCCAGGTTCCTCCCCTCCCCCAAGGTCAAAATACTGACCCTTCCCAAGATGCAACTACAGAACAGTTGCCTAACTCCCAGGGTACCTATTTACTTCTACGACAACTGAGGCATTAGATGAAACGAAACTTGCCCAATTATCTCGCCAGGAAATCGAACCCTGGCTCCTAAACGTTGAGCCGAGGACACTGACCACCACCTATTTAATTCTACTAGACCTGGTAGTGTTTATAGATATTTTCCATGTGCATCAAGTATTCGTTCCTTAGAGTATTAGTGCATGGTGATCACTCTTTAAACAAAATATAAACATTATATGAATCTACTCTAGCATATCCTGTTCTAATCTAACCTAGGTATGAATGGGGGTGACAGCCACTCAGCTGACCCTCAAGAGTACTGCACCACACTAGGTTTCTTATCTGTCTATAATATTAGACACTAACCTTTTATTTTCACTTTCTTCCATTACACATTAAAGGTAAGTCTCTTTAACAAGCATTAAATCGTTTCGTTAAAGGCTTAGACTCAGGAAAAACACTCCTTGCTAATGTTTATTTTGGCGCGCAAGTAATTGAACATCTATTTTTATTATAAAACTACAAATGAAACAAAAATATTTATAAAGATTAAGTAAAATATAATTGTATATTATTTATAAATCCTTAAAGGGACTAGTTTGTCTTTGTTGATTTATTAGAAAGTTGTTAGTGCAGGCAAAAGCTGTGTATTTGACTCAGAGTATTGGGTCACGTGATCACAACACTACTCCTCAGTCAGCTGTTGTGACTTATGCCAGCTCTTCCCTGGGTCACCCCTCATCCCGCCTCACTCCTCTCAATCGCTGCTATCCTTCCTCTCTATCTCTCTCAGTAGAGAAATGTAGCAAAGAGTCGCGTAATAAGTGGGCTCAGTGACTAGACCTCTCGAGTAGCAGGGACAGGTGGTCTTATTGAGGTAAACAGCTGACAGGCTTCTTCAGTGGACGTTTGGACTATGTTTTGTGTTTTATTTATTTATTTCTTTATTCTGATAGTTTGGACTAGTGTGTATTGGTTCCCTGATTATTTGAAAGTGTCCCATGATGTGTAGCTTTACAGGACTATTAAGATTCAGATGGAATTCCTGATTAAGCTGAAAATAAGTGTCAGGTGTCGTGCGTTGACATTCAAGATACGAGATGTATGATCGTTTATTTTCAGCTGTGATGTATAAGAATGCTTATCGTTCCTATTTGTGAATGTATCAAAATTATAGTTTTTCAAATTAGCTATTATAAATATTTACCATAGTGAAAAATGCTATTCTAATGACTGTAAAAAAAATCATAATTACTTCAATGAATGAAGTGTTATACTACATTTAAACCTTAAAAAGTTGCAAAAAAGGTTTCACTAATATCTACAAATGCATGTTGTAGTAATGTTATAAATGCACTGCTATTCAAGTGTCTTAAGTTGAGTAACTTCAAGAAAGTCATATGAAATCACAAGTGAAATTTAACTATTCAGATTTTACCATTTTATTAGTTTATATGTTGGGTTTTTTGTTTCATTAGTTCTTTAGTTATCATGTGCCATGCATGTGTGTAGATAAAAATGTTCTCAGCATTAGTTTATAAATAATAAACACCTATATTTTCAGAGACATAATTACTGTATCATATTTTCATATCAAGTACAAAGCTTCACATATGTTTTTTTTTCTCTTTTTTTTGTCAATAGTTCTGCAGTGAATTTATACTTGTTTTAGAATTGTTTGGGTATAGTAATATAATATATTGAATGAAAAGCTCTGTGCACTGTGTTTAATTTAATACATCTAATGAAATACTTTGAGTTTAACATCTTATCCACTCTATTTTCATTGGTATTGTTTTAACTCACAAGTAAGTTTTTTTTTATAATACAGTACATGAGACTAATTACCATAATCACTGAAAGCACTATTTCTTGGCAATATAATGATGGTATGGTTTTTTACCCCTTCTGGTCTATATATTCTTGATAAAAAATGAGCATGATTTTGTAGCCAGTGACAGGTAGTGTTGATAAAGAGAGATAGCAGAGTGGAATAATAGTATTAAGGAATACAGTATATACAATAGGCATGGACAAGTGTGTGATTGTATGGAAATTTGTAGCGATTTAAGCATTAGTAGGAGGCAATAAATGTATGAGCAGGGATACTTTTATGGTGCATTTCAATAGATTGATAATGAACTTTGGGTGATATTTCCAGCAAAGAGCAACATAACCCAGCATTGCATTTTTTGTTTGCAGTGTTTGAAATGTCGTGCCTCTTGGATCAAATAGCGGCTATCAGTAACACCCCTGAACTTGTTCAGTGGCTATGTCCACACCTGACGAGCGGAAGTCAAGTCTCGCTCCAGGGAGGTCCAAACGTGACAAATAATCCAGGTTAGCTGATATACTTCACATCATATAGTTTTCTGTATGATAGTGAATATATTTACACTATATTATAGTGATATAGTTTCCACTTGAGTAGATTACCTGTATCTTTGCTGATTTTAGAGTACAGTATGAGTATATATATATATTAATTGACTTGTGTTCAATTAATTTGTAATGGAAACTTTACAGATACAGAATGGAATGATGAGTGGGGTGGATTTGATGATTTTGAGAAAGATGGAGGATCTCTGTCTACTGGAGGTAATGGAGATTCATACCCAAAATCGTCCTCATCCCCACAGCCAGAAACCTCATGGCTGTCAGAGTGTGTTATTGCAGCTTCTCCAACTTTTGATATCATGGTCATTGCTTACAAGAATCGTTTGGCAATATTATCTTGTAAGTAAAACACATATACTTTGTTTTAAATATTTTGAAGTTGATTTGAAACCCTTGATTGAAATATAATGGTACTGCACCATGTTTTAATTATAATAATGTGAATTGATATAATTTTTTAATAATCTGCTAGACTTAGTCAGATGCAAGTACTGTAGATTGTTTAGAATGCAGGTGCATTGTTTAGAATATTATACATTTTTACTTATTATTCTCTGATTTATTTTTATATTACAGTATCTGATTTATTTTTATATTACAATATCTGATTTATTTTTATATTATTCTCTACCAAGTAAGTTTTGTTAACTAATATGTTGATGAAATTAGATTAATATGCTGTAGCAATATAACTGTGCTGACAGCTATAGAACTAGTTAATGTTATGTTGCAGTAATATTTGAAACACTTTAGGCAATGGATGTTAGTTTCTTGGTTCTTATTTGATTTGTCATTTATATTATTTAGATTTTTTTCTATGGTTCTACGTATATTTGAGTTGCTAAGAACACTTGCACAGTCTGGAAGCACATGTCCCCTTCAATTTTTCTAAGATGTAAGAGCTGTACTGTATACAATTATTTTATTTTAGGTCGTTGGGGAAGTTCTGCTGAAGAAGAGGAGAAAATGAAGTTATTAATTACATGGCGTGGGACAGTTGGATGTGGCGGGAAGTATGTGTCACGATTATTGTTTTCTTCTGTATTTATTTTACAAGTTTAATTTTCATCATAGAATAGTGTACGGTATTGTGATCCCTCTTAAAATAATATGATTCATTATTGGCTAGTCACATTAACACTTACATACACGGCTCATTTACCTCTTGCTCTCTCTCCTTCCATTGACATGCTGGGTCTTTTTCTATTGTTTCTATGACACTGGAATCAATAATTCAACATGGTGTTGCAACATCATGTGACAATTACAGTCAGCCGTCACTTTGCATGAGGAACATGTTCTCTGAAGTTAACTTTGTAGGGATAATGGGAATAAGAGTCCCGAGATCTTCAAAAGGCACTCTTTTCTGCTTCTCTCAACAAAACGTTTATTTGAACATCATTACATCTAAATATTCCTTTCCCCCTTTCTAACCACAGATATAGACATCAATATGCTCATAACTATTTAACTAATGAGGGCATTGGTATGCCTCTAATTATCAGCCTTGTAATCATGTCTTGTGTGTTTTCCATATTAAGAGAATGCCACACCTTGCCAATTTTTTGGTATAGTAATGTTTTTAATTACTGTTTGTATTGATGGCCTTATGTTTACCAGTATCATGCTTCTCTCTTTCTCTGGCAGTGATGAAATCAGTGCACTGCTTTGTTTGCCACTGATCTCCCAAAAGCAGAGCAGCACTGGGGGGCCAGACTGGACGTGTATTATCGCTGGCTTTACTTCAGGATATGTAACTATGTATACTGAGGTACAATCTTCTCAAGTATATTTACTTGTTTAATGTGCTGAAATAAATCTATATATTCTTTTTTCCATTTTCATGGTGTTCGGAGACAACAGCATTGCTTCTTGATGTTGTTAACTTCTTCCCATGACTTGTTATTTAAAATATATTAATTTCTTCCTCTTAAATGGTTGCACGTTAACTCAATCCCCACCACCTCTTGAGCTCTGCTCACACTGTGATATAAAAGTTTGTGGAACTTTGTTATATTAACATTTAAAGCTGTGAATGTAGTTATCACTTTCTCTCCTTGTTCTTTCCTCTAGTTAATCATTCATATACTGAAGGAGCACTTTGTTACATCCCTCTGTGTCAACTATTGATTCAATTTCAACCTGTGCCTTTGTTCTATTTACTATAAATTATACTATTCCCTTATACTTTATTTCAATACCTTGAACATGTTGACTATGATCCTTTTGGGTCTTTAAGTGTGATATTAATGTTCAATCTCATAGCCCGTCTTCATGGCTTGACTGTGTGTGATTTGTTTGTGTATTACGTGTGTTGCCTTGTGGGTTTTTTTTGTATGGTGTGTATGTGGTGGCAATACAAGCCATATTTAATGGTGGGAAAGACTGTTCTCTAGCCTCTCCTAATAAATGTTGCCACTAGAGTTCTATCTTTACTTGTCCTCTCTATCCTACAGAATGGTTTGGTCTTGTTGTCTCAACTTTTTGAGGAAGAAACTGTGCTGAGCCTAAAGTGCCGCACTCTATCAACCGGATGCACAGGTGCGTTAGTAAATGATATGAATGAGGAGCTGATTATTCTCTACCCCCACTCCATCACCACCATTGATGGGTTCTCTCTCTTTCAAACCCTACGAGGCTGTAGAAATCAAGTTGCCAAAGGTAGGTTTATCCTCATCAATGTTTCTTATATATATATATATATATATATATATATATATATATATATATATATATATATATATATATATATATATATATATATATATATATATATATATATATATGTCGTACCTAGTAGCCAGAACTCACTTCTCAGCCTACTATGCATGGCCCGATTTGCCTAATAAGCCTAGTTTTCATGAATTAATGTTTTTTCGACAACCTAACCTACCTAACCTAACCTAACCTAACGTTTTCGGCTACCTAACCTAACCTAACCTATAAAGATGGGTTAGGTTAGGTTAGGTAGGGTTGGTTAGGTTCGGTCATATATCTACGTTAATTTTAACTCCAATAAAAAAAATTGACCTCATACATAATGAAATGGGTAGCTTTATCATTTCATAAGAAAAAAAATAGAGAAAATATATTAATTCAGTAAAACTTGGCTTATTAGGCAAATCGGGCCTCGCATAGTAGGCTGAGAAGTGAGTTCTGGCTACTAGGTACGACATATATATATATATATATATATATATATATATATATATATATATATATATATATATATATATATATATATATATATATATATATATATATATATATATATATATATATATATATATATATATATATATATATATATATATATATATATATATATATATATATATATATATATATATATATATATATATATATATATATATATATATATATATATATATATATATATATATATATATATATATATATATATATATATATATATATATATATATATATATATATATATAATATGTGTGTGCATGTTTGTTAATACAGTACAGTAGTTACTAATCGTACCCTAATATTTCAAAAACGTGGGGGGGGTTGGTTTCACTGAACGAAATTTTAATTCCAACCAGTCATATGATGGACAGCTACCAGGAGATCCTGTCTGTAAAGAGATTTAACTACTTATACAGTAGCATTTTTCCTATGCCCTAATCTTAAAATCTCATTTACAAAAGAAAAAGGACCCGTATTAGTGAACAAAAACCGGGGAAAAATCAAAATTAAAATGAACCATAAACTTTGGTTTTAAATGTGCTCAATGGCTTTCCCAAGGCCCTGTATTATTTTCTGTAATGTTGCTCCAATCTACAAAAATCATTAAAACTGTAATTGAAGCCACATTAAAAGCATTACCATTCATGTCTAATATTTCCCAAGCTCTAAGGGCTGATTTCACCGAGTGAAATTATAATTTTAATCTGTCACATGAAGGGCAACAACCAAGGGAACCTGTCAGTAAAAGATTTAACCACATCTAGCATATTGCCCAAGCCTTGAAATCTCATTTTCAAAGGAAAGAGGGCCTATATTTTTCTAAACAAAAATGTCTGCAACTGCAAAGAAAAAGAACCATAGAATTTGGTTTTAAATATGGTCAGTGGTTTTCTCAAAGACTATCCATTTCTTGTAATGTTGCCTCCATCTATGAACTCGGTTCCAACATCCTAAGCAAATCCACACATCCCCTGCTTCAGCGAATTCTTGTTCGTAGAATGGGGTGAGTAAATCGGGCATGGAAAGTGTGTTCCAACATAGAGATTTGCAGAATCGAGGTTAAACTCCAAGAGTATGGTGAAGGACTGCGCTGCGCCGGGCATGTCTCCACCTTACCTCTATGACCACTTGGTTCAGATTTCTCTGGCAAAGGGATTCAGCCATGCTTCTGCATCAGGTTGGTAAAATGATTGTTTTTATTATGGCTTTGTGTAAATAGGTGCCCCTTTTGTTCATCTCTTGTGTATTTTACCTGTTAAGGCATTAGCATATAACTTCTGTATATATTTCACATACAAGTTTTGCCTTATTCTTGCTGAACGTTCACTTTTCAGTATGCACCATATGACTTTAGCCATTGTTAACTGCTTTGTATTTTGCTTCATAGAATATAGGCTATATATAATTCTTGCAGGTGTACCGGCTACTTCTCTCCTCATTACGGTGGGTCGCGTACCTTACATTGGTTTTTTGACTGCTCAGGAAGGCTCGGCACCTCCTTTTGTAGCAGATGTGGCTCGCCTGTATGCGAGTAAACTGAAGGATGCATTGGTCTCTGCAGCCAGGTAATGAAAGATGATGAAGGCACTTGCCTTTTAAAGTATTTGTCTTAAGATGCATCTCTCTCTCTCCCATACCATTTCCTCGAGGGGGGGTACCTCGTGTTGAATATCCCGCATGCTTTACAACCTCCCTTTTAAGTTGTTGACTTTCTAAAGATAAGTCGTTTTATGTTTTTCTGGAAATTAAGCCTGGGGTCACATATTAATATGGGTTAGGCTATTTTTTTCCAGATGTATCTGTGTGTCTATATATTTGGGTGTGGAGAGTTCCATTTTGTGGGGAGAAAATTTTAAGATGGGTTTTCTGTTCTCTTTTTCTAGCGGGTGGATATTTGGAAGAGGCAAAAGCAAAGTAGAAGATGCATCCAAGATGAAGCCAAAGATTGAACCTGCAACTCCACTGCCCTACAGGTAAGTTAGTCTACCCAAGGTGCAGGCAAAGATTGAACCCTGCAACTCTGCTGCCTCTACAGGCAAGTTGATCTATTCATTATGAAGCCTACGATTGTTTTCATTGAGGCTTGATAAAACGAGCGTGGAATACGTAATGAATTTCGCTACGTTGCTGCCACTGTTACTGTATTCTTGCCTTTTCTGACAGATGGTCTGTACCAGATAAGAAGAGAGTTGGTGTGACTGTGAGCATGTCTCCAGGAAGGAGACTAGCAGTCGTCACTGATGATCTTGGACGTGTGACCCTAATAGATGTTCACAGAGGAGTTGCTCTACGCATGTGGAAAGGTGCATACAAGAACTTGTTAAGACAAAAATTTAAATAACAAAATTAGTTTTTGTGTACAGCAGTGTGTGTGTATCAGTCTATGCATATTTTCTTTGTAAATAAGTTTTGTTCATACATCTGCTATGTCCGTCCGTCATTCAAATTTTCTTCCTCAATCTTTCTCACACTTATCGTGCATGCATTCTTGTTTTAGTTATTTTTCTTCATCTTAATTTCCTGTCATATCTTCCAAGACTCTAGAATTGGTTGACCTTGATCTGAATTTGTATATCCTGCCAATATTTTAAACAATCTTGCAAGTCTGTGTTGGTGGGTTGGATCGAATTGATGATAAATCTGTTGATTATTACTGCTTGTATTGTGTGGTTTAAAGATCAGAACAGGTATTAACCCTTAAACCGTTAAGCTGTTTAAAAATCTTCCATCCAGGTGTGTATAGAAAAAAAAATATTGAAAACCCATAAATATCAATCACATTATGGCGACTAGCGCACAGACGAACATTGCAAATGGCAATTAGTGCACAGAAGGACATTGCAGATGGGAATTGGAGCAATACATGGGTTAAGACTGTCAAATTGGAATGGAATTGTATCAGACTGATTTTCAATTTTTTTTTTTTTTTTTTTTATCAGGTTATCGTGATGCTAACTGCGGATGGCATGAGGTTGAGGGCAGCTGGGGTGGGACTAAACGCTGTGTGGTCTTCCTACTCATCTATACTCCTCGGAGAGGTTTATTGGAGGTTTGGACACCCCAACAAGGGCCAAGAGTGGCAGCTTTTAATGTCCCTAAGCAATCAAGGTAAACATTGTTTAAACTTAAGATTTACTGATATAATAATAAAATAATATTACTAATAGTTGTATATTAAATAAAGCAACTACAGTAATATGCAAATGGTCATCCTCATATGCTTTGGAAATGGAGTTAATTAGTAAGAAAACCCAAAATTATAGAAATTATAATATACATAATCTTGAAAGTTATTATATTCTCTTTAAATTCACTTTATAGGCTGTGAGAGAACAGGGAAGAGAAAGTGTATTAGAATTCAGTAAGCCTCACAGCATTGCTATAAGTAACAGTTAATTAAAATTTTTGTTCGGTTACACAGATATTTGTAGGTTATGCTGACATTCTTCGTAATATAATTGCATAAGAGGTAAATTTCCTTCAGGGCAACTCGTGTAGAACTTTTCTTAGAGTATATGAGCGTCAGTCTGTGATAGTTTGTATGCATGTATGTATGTTAACTTTTCCATGAATATAGACTTTAAAAATAATCCCCTAACCCCCCATCCCCCACACACACACGAAAAGAAAAGGAGGAAAATTGTCAGTGTTGCAGCTAATTGTGGATCTTCACCAACAGACTTTCTAGTGTTGATCATAAATTTTATTTTCACTGTTCTGTACGTGTTTGAGACGCTCGAATTCGTTACTTATGGCAACTTACTGGACTATCAGCGTGTTCCTTCTTACAGGTTATTGTACACTCCTCATACCCTGCTGGGGGTGAACAGTGTACGGGGCGTTTTCTGTAAAGTGTTTCCCGTGGTCTTCATCACTCCAGATGGTTTGATAAGTGAAGTTACCATACCTTTCCACTTGGCGTTAGGGTAAGTGTAAATAACTCTGAGAGTAATTGAAGCATTTCTTAATACAGTAATTATGTAATTGTTATAAGTTGGTTTTTATCTGTTCAGTGGGAAAAGCTCCTGCAGGTTTTCATCATTTTCTTTTGTCCATGCTCATCTCTCGTTCGCATGCACAGGTATCTTGCCTTTCTATGCCATGTTAGCAAAAATAAAGATTGTATTTTAATATTAGTCTTTCTATAGTAGAATACCTAAGTCAGTATTGTATCTTGCCTAGCACCACACTATTTCTTAACATTGCCTATCTTCATTGTTCAAACTTCTGACATTCCACTTGTGAAATTTTTCTCTCTGGTAAAAATGGTGTACTTTTAGCATTTTTATCTAAGGAATGCAACCAAAATATTTTCAGGAGCATGAGTTTTATATTTTTAGAGAGTATAAGTATCAGGAATGTATACCAATGAAAATTAAAATGTAGATAAGCTAAATAGAGTAGAGGGAAATCCTGGTTATTCACCTTCTAATTCATTAAAAGAAAACTGCATTCTTTAGAATGTTGGTATGATGACCAATCCTGTATGGTCATCATACCATACAGGATTGGTCACTTTAACTTCAGATGTGCAAATTCAATCTAGCTGCCAAATTAGTCTAGTTTCAGAGCATTGTGGAAATAAGGTGTTATGCCTACATAACAATTCTTTCTAGTTAATGCTCTTTGAACCTGAAACAAATATCATTGTTCCTATATTTTTAATTATTTATGATTTTGATAACTTGTGGTGAAAAAATATTTCTAAACTTTTCAGTGGGAAGACCAGCAAACGTGCTCGAGATCTTCACCTTATAAAGACCCTCAAGACTCATCTACGGAATGGTAATGAAGATGAAGTCCTAGCCACCATGGCGGAGATCAAAACGGCAGGAGTGCGCAAGCAGGCTGTAACAACACTCGTCATGTCTCAGCACCTCACTGTTCCTTTGTTACAAGGGTTGCTTGACCATTTTATTCCTATATATGCTGTTGAAGAAACCGAAAATGGTACATACAGCAATAGTTTAAAGTTTTATTCATTGTGTACAGTAGAGAAATCTTTGCATACAGGTGTGGCGAGTTATGGAATCTTTTAGAGTTTGGTCTACGGACCAGTGAATTTATTACAAAATAATTTGTGATATTGAGGTGGTGACTCCATTGCCCACCCCTATGGGGTGCACACAGCCCCATATCCCATGAAAAATGGATTGGGAGATTTGGCTGGGGACCTATCTTCCCAAATTCCTCCTGATAACAGGCATACGGTAATTAAGTTTGGAAATGCAAAATTTACATGCCCCAGCCTAGGTCCCAGAAAACAAAAGGCATCTGGTATGGTTGTGTTGAATATTGGCTTATGCCAGATGAAAATGTAATGAAGTGAGAATGAAGAGTCAAATGGCATAATGATTATGAGAGCAAATGGCAAAATGTGGGAAGAGCGGTATGGGCAATGAATTGCCTTTGATGCTTCAGTTGGAGGTGCTTGTACTATGCTTGAAATTTGAGTTTAAAAGAGTAGAGGTTGCTGTTGGGGTTGTTTAGGCTCTGTGTGATGTGATAATAGAAGATTTTACAAGTGAATGAATGAGATTGATAGATTGGTGTGATATGAAGAACTTGAGAACAATTGTAATGTGACTAGAATATTAAAAAAGGAGTAGGCCTTGAAAATGGTGTAATGCATAATTAAAGAATCTGTAATAATTATATATATTCTATGCATAAGGATATTTATAAAATAAACATGGCAGTAAATGAATGGTGAATGAATAAAAAGTTGAATTGCCTAGGTTTGAGGAAACACAATCAGTTTATCCCTTCACTGCTGTGTGTTTATCAGTGCATGAGAAGAGAGGGAGGGCACCTCATCTCTGTAACTAAAGTAGTGTTCTTGGGTATTGGGGCTAAACAGAATAAAATGATTACTACATCTTATAATGATAATGGTGGCAAATGATATCCTTGTTTTGTGTAAAGAGATAATAAAAAAAATGTGGGGGTCAACACCCTCTTACCACCTAGGCACGGTGTAATAATTTTAAATTAGTTTCTTTGAATTATTGTGTTGTAAATAGATTTCGCAAGGCACATTGGTAAATTACAATTTTGCCAGTTATTATTAAGCGTAACCTACTTGGATGCTTCCCCCTCCCCGCTCAGCTCGTTGTCGCCGTGTGGGGGCTTAGTGGGCGGCTGCCGGAGTGTGATGCTCCTTGGGACAGTCCTCTGTCCTTTTCTAGCCTTGTGCTCCTGCTGCCGTCCTCTCCAATTCTGCTGGGCATCTTTTCCTTTTCCTTCTGTTTTCCTTTTTTCTCCCCCCTCTTCTCCTATCTGCTTGCCGTTTCCTGCCGACCTTTTGCTCGTTCTGGTTCTTCCCTTGGACTTCTTCTATTTTGACGCCCGGGTGCTTGAGGAGGCATACTCTTGCACCCGTAGAACTGCAGTACCCGACGTCGAGAGCGAGGGGAACCTTTTATTGTCAATCCCCACTTCGTCACTGAACCCGATCTCGACGGACTGTCGGTTTCTTAAGGTGGCGTTTGTGGGGCGTATACTCACGACGCACCCCTAGGAGGCCCCGACAAGATCGGCGATAGCTTCTTGTTGGGTGTCCTGCCTCTAATTGTGGCTCCATGGTGGGTGTGGGGGCACATTCGTGAGTGAATTCTTCTTTCGTCAAGATGATAACCCCTGCTTCGGCTTCTTCTGGTTTACCTTCTCAGGCTCGTGGGGTGGGCGACCAAGCCCCCGAGTCGGTCCGTATTGGAAGACCGGGCTCTGTAGCCTCCGCTGCATTGGGCCCCGACCTTGCTCCTCCTTTGGCCTCTCTGACTCCTTCCTCTGGCTCCCCTCCCTCCTCTGTGGTTGGGTCGAGCCCCAAGCCCCCAGTGGTGACTACCTCGTCCCCTGGCGCAGCTCCTTCTCTGGTTGTAACTACTGCACCTTTTAACCCCTCTCTCTCTGGGGGTTCTCACCGCCGTCCTCGTCACGGCCGCCCTCGCTCGATTCCTTCCAGTTCTGCTACCTATCAAGCCTTGTTTGGTCCCGCTTCGTGGGCCAAATATTTTGATCTCCTCCCTCTTGATTCTGCGCCTCCTGACGATTTCTCCCTCCATCGACATCTCATTGATTCCGTAGATGCCTCCATTACTTTCAACCCCACTCGTCTCGGTACACGTGTCGTTGCTGCTCCTTCTCAGGATGCTGCTTCCCGCTTGGCTGCCTTATCCTGCCTTGGCGAGACCCCCGTTCGGGTCTCGAAGAACGCTCAGTTGAATGCCAGTGTTGGCACTATTTTGCTCCCGCCCCATGTTGCGACCGGTGTTCGGGACCTGCGCGACTGCCACGACGATATTCGACATATCCTCGCTGCCCAGGGCCATTCTATTCTCCAGGTGGACACGTTTACTCGTCCCCCTCGTGGTAGTCGCCGTCAACCCCTCCGGGTTGTGAAGATTACCTTTGATGGTAGGACCCTTCCTCCCTCTGTCATTCTTGCTGGTGCTAGGTGCTCTGTCCAGGAGTACATTCCTTCTCCTCGGCTCTGCAACAAGTGCTGGAGGTTTGGGCATGGTGCCCTCCGCTGCTCCGGGACTGTCTCTCTCTGTCCTTTGTGTGGTGGCGAAGGTCACTCTAAGTCGGAGTGCGCTTCTCCCCAGGCTCGTTGCCTCAACTGCGGTGAGGCCCATCCTACCTTCTCCCGTGCGTGTGTCCATTACAAGCTTGAGGCAGCTGTCCTCAACTTGAAGCACCGGGAGCGTTTATCTTTTCCTGAGGCGAGGCGCCAGGTTCGCCGGCTCCCGCCTTATGCTAATATCTCTTATGCTCGCGTGTTGCGCTCTTCCTCTCCTCGTCCTTCCCGCCTTCCTCAGACTCACAACCGTTTCCGGGCCTTGGACCCTGATGCGCCCACTGCCCCCTCCTCTGTCCCTTTGGGTTCTCTCCCGAAGGATCCTCCTCCTGGTCCTCTGTCTGGGGTTCCCCTTCCTTCTACCCGGTCTGTCGTGTCTTCTGTGTCTTCTTCCTCGTCCCCCTCCGATCCTCTTCCTCCATCTATCGGCTCTCCCCACCGCCTGTCGGTGCGGGCGGATGTCCATCGCTCTCCTAACGGCCGTCGTGTGTGCTCTCGTTCGGCTTCTCCTGTTGAGACACTGGAATCCGTTGCCCGGTACGTAGTTGCTGGGACACCGGTCTCTTTAAGTCAGAAGCGTAAGCCTGGCTCCTCTCCTTCCTCTTCCCTGGCGGGTAAGAAGGCTTCGCTTTCTTCCTCAGCTCCTCCTTCTGGCTCTGTTGCTCCTTCCCCTCCCGTTTCAGTGCTTGCGCCCCCTGTTCCTGCTATGGAGGTTTCTTTGGCCCCTGCTTCCCTTTCGGTTGCTGCTCTTGCTGGGGTGCGCTCCCCTCTTTCTACTCCCCCTCTTCCTGCTGCTGTCCTTGACTGCTCCTCTCCGTTGTCTCCTCCTCTTCCTCCTCCTCCTCTTCCTCCTCCTCCGGACCCTGCCCGCCCACCTCTGATCTGTTCTCCCGTTTCCTTCCCTCCGTCTTTGCTCAGTTTACCCATGCCCCCTAACCCTGACTTTGCTGACCCTGATCCCGACCCTGATATTCTTTAACGTGCTCTGTTGCTCTTTCGCCTTTGTTTCTTCCTTGTTCTCTGTTTTTGTCCTTTCTCTTCTCGTCGTTGTCCATTCTTCAATGGAACGTTCGAGGTTATTACGCCAATTTCCTCGAACTCCAACTTCTGATTTCGCGGTTTTCGCCCCTTTGTGTCTGTCTCCAGGAGCCAATGCTTGGTGCTCGTCCTGGTCGTTTTCATGGCTATTCCTTTCTCTCCCCCCCCCCCCAGCCATTGCTGGGGCTTCTAATTCTTCTGCTCTCTTGATTCGGGCTGATGTTCCCTTTGTTCCTTTACTTTTTCCTTCGCCTCTCCATTGTTCTGCTGCTCGTATCTTTGTGGGGAGATGGTACACAGTTTGTTCCATTTATCTCCCCCCGAGTGTCCCGCTCTCTCTTCCTGATTTGAAACTCCTCCTAGACTCCTTGCCGGAGCCTGTGCTCCTGCTGGGTGACTTCAATTGTCGTCATTCTCTTTGGGGTGACGTTCTGACGAATACCCGGGGTCGCCTCCTTGAGCCGTTTCTCCTCTCTTCTTCCCTGTCTCTTCTGAATTCTGGTGAGCCCACTCATTTGGACTCTCGAACTCGCACCCTTTCTTGTCTTGATCTTTCTCTCTGCTCTTCTTCTCTTTACTTAGATTTCACGTGGCGGGTTCTTGATGACCTCCATGGAAGTGATCATTTCCCCATCCTTGTTTCCTTTTTCTCTTTTCGCCCTTCCCTCTCTTTCCCTAGGTGGCAGTTTGCTAAGGCGGACTGGACCCTATTTTCCCTCAGTGCTACTCTCTCTGACCTCTCCCTTCTGCCCCTCTCTCGCGCTCTCCTCCTTTTTCATGACACTGTCTTCAACGCTGCCCTCCGCTCTATTCCTCGCTCTTCCTCTCGGGGTCCACGGAAGTGCGTTCCCTGGTGGAATGCGGACTGTGCTCGGGCTGTCCGCTGTAAGCGTGCAGCCTGGAAGAGGCACCGCCGTAGGCAGACGACCGATTCTTTTCTTTTCTTTCGGAAAGCGAGTGCGGTGGCCCGTAGGGCCATCCGTACGGCTAAACGTGAATGTTGGGCATCTTATGTCTCAACAATTACGTCCGAAACCCCTCTGGCCCAGATCTGGAAGCGTATCCGCAAGATAGCGGGTAAGTTCGTTCCCGATGTTTCACCGGTCCTTCACCTCCATGGTACTCTTGTGGCGGACCCGTTGCAGGTCGCTTCCGAACTGGGTTCCCACTTTTCTTCTGTTAGCTCTGGTCTTCATCTTCCCCAATCTTTCCTTCTTCGTAAACCTGTCCTTGAGTCTCGTCCTTTAGATTTCTGCACTCATCTTCAGCTTCCCTATAATGATCCCTTCTCTCTCTCTGAACTTCGTTCTGCCCTGGCCCTCTGCGGTTCTACGGCGGCGGGCTCCGATGGTATTCATTATGAGATGCTTCGCCATCTCCCTCCGAGCACGTCTCAGTATTTACTGAGTCTGTATAATCGGATCTGGGAGTCGTCGTCAGTCCCTGAGGACTGGCTCGATGCCGTTGTCCTCCCTGTTCGCAAACCGGGGTCTCTGGGTACTTCCCCTAAGGACTTTCGCCCTATTGCTCTCACAAGTTGTGTCTGCAAACTCTTTGAACGTATGGTTAACGTTCGTCTGATGTGGTTCCTGGAACGCCATCACCTCCTCTCCCCTTCTCAATTTGGTTTCCGCAAGTGCCGCAGCACGACAGATGTCCTGGTGAACTTGGAGGTCTATATTCGTACTGCTTTTGCTGCGAAGACCTCCGTTGTTGCCGTCCTTTTTGACCTAGAAAAGGCTTATGACACCACTTGGCGTTATCATATCCTATCTCAACTTCATTCTTTTGGCCTTCGTGGTCATCTCCCTCTCTTTCTCCGCAGCTTCCTCTCTCGTCGTTCCTTTCGGGTGCGCCTTGGTACCGCTCTCTCTCCCTCTTTTCAGCAATACGAAGGTGTGCCCCAGGGTAGTGTTCTGAGCACTACTCTTTTTCTGGTTGCCCTCAATGGTCTTCTTTCCTCTCTTCCTTCTGGTGTCTTCTCCGCTCTATATGTCGATGATCTTACCCTTTGTTGTCAGGGTGATGATTCGCCTCTCCTTCAATGCCAGCTTCAACTTGCCATTGATGCCGTGTCGTCTTGGGCCACAGGTCATGGCTTCAAGTTCTCTACTTCTAAGACTTGTGCCATGACTTTTACGCGGAAACGGGTTGTTCTTCGTCCCTCTTTGTCACTTTATGGTCATCCCCTTGAATACAAAGATTCCGCGAAGCTTTTGGGGTTATTCCTTGACACTCGTTTGTCTTGGTCTCCCCATATCTCTTACCTCCGTGTTGAGTGCTCTAAGGCCCTTACCCTCCTTCGGGTCTTGTCCCATACTTTTTGGGGGGCAGATAGGCGCACTCTCCTTGCTTTACATTCCTCTCTCGTCCTGTCTAAGCTCGATTATGGTTGCCCTGCTTACTCGTCTGCTTCTCCTTCTACTCTTCGCCGTCTTGATGCTTTGCACCATACTGGGTTGCGTCTCAGTTCTGGTGCCTTTCGTTCGACTCCCATCCTTAGCTTGTATGTTGACACTGGCTTCCTGTCTCTCCAGGACCGCCGTGATCGCTACTGTCTTCGCTATCTTGCGCGGTCCTTACAACATCCTTCCTCTCGCCTCTGTCGTGCTTTAACTTTTACCCCTCCTGCAGTTCCTGTTCCTCTTCACCACCTCCCTCTTTCTGTCCGGTTATCTCGCCTACAGGATTCTCTTTCCGTTCGTATTTCTGATGTTTCTCCTCGTGTTGTTCCTTCTTTGCCCCCGTGGAGGGTCCCTCTTCCGCGGTTTTGTACATCCTTGACCCGTATCACTAAAGCTTTTACCCCTCCTACGGTTCTCAAACGCCTTTTCCTCGAGCACTTTTCTTCTCACTCCCGCTCCGTTTCTGTCTTCACCGATGGGTCTAAGTCAGCGGACGGTGTTGGCTACTCTGTTGTTTTTCCTGATTGCACTTATATGTGTCGCTTGCCTCCGGAGACTAGCATCTTTACAGCCGAACTTTATGCTATTCTCTATGCTCTTCGTCTCCTGCTTTCTCGTTGTCAGTCTTCCTTTGTGGTTGTTGTTGACTCTCGTAGTGCCCTCATGGCTCTCGGGTCCTTTAATCCGGTTCATCCAGTAGTTGTCGAGATCCAGCATTGGCTGTTTCTCGTTCACAGTAAATTTAAGTCGGTTGAGTTTTGTTGGGTTCCCAGCCATATTGGTGTGTCTTTAAATGAGCGTGCGGATGCTGCTGCCAAGGAAGCTGTCCGCTCTTGTCCCATCTCTCGCAAAGGCATTCCGTATTCCGACTTTTACCTGGTTATCCATTCCTCAGTCCTTACCCGCTGGCAGGCTTCTTGGTTGTCTGTTACTGGTAACAAGCTACGTACTCTTAAATGTTGTGTTTCCTCGTGGCCGTCCTCCTTCCACCGTAACCGGCGGTGGGAAACGGCTCTGGCGAGGTTGCGTATTGGCCATACTCGCTTAACCCATGGTCACTTGATGGAGCGCCGCCCTGCTCCTTATTGTCCTAGTTGCATTGTCCCTCTTACGGTCGTGCATGTCCTTCTTGAATGTCCTGACTTCCAGGACGAGCGTGTGTCTTGCTTTCCGACCGCCCCTCGCGGTCACCTGTCCCTCGATAGAATTCTTGGTGACTCGGATACTTTTGATATCGTTCGCCTTATGCGTTTTTGTTCTCGTATTGGCATCCTTGGTGATATTTAGCGCCCTCTGATTATTTTGCGTACTTGATGGTGCTACATAGCCTTCCCGGTTTGGTGCCTTCTTTTGATAATTACTTACTTACTTGGATGCTTACAAGGGCCACTCAATGCAAACCTCCTGGCAATTTTAAAAATTACTGCCAAATCAGCAAACTGAAAATCGTAACTTTTGTATGCCGACTAAGAGCTCATACAACCACTAATTTTAAAGTTTATGGCACTAGGGAGACATGGGAGAAATACTCAGTCCACTCCAGGATGATTGACAGAAGTACTTTCATAAAAAAAGACTCAAAAGTCTTACTAAGCCATCACTTCTCACAATTAACTGTAAAATGAAGGCTTACTAACTGTTGGTTGGCTTGCCTAGTCAACCTCCCTTTCCACCACCCATACCTCAGGGTCCCAAGATTCAGACCATTTTATGTTCTACCTGACTGTCTCTGCCAGTTCCTTGATTGCTGAGAAATAAAGATTTGAGTAAATAAGAAAATGCCTTTCTGGGCAGAATCTTTCAATTGTCACAAGTCTGCCCCACTATCTCCCATTGTCTGCAGATTTTGTTTGCATCAGGAAGCATGTGAAGTGGTAATATGGTTATAGTACAGTACTACTGTATTGAATATTCGGTTGCAATGGAAAGTAATGGGATATTGCCAGTTAAAGAAAATTCAATTATTTCTTCTAATATTCCTTTTACAAACTAGTTTGGTATTAAAATGGTAAAAAAAGCATGTTCTAGCATTTCCATTAATAAAAAATTATTAGTGTTTGCAGATATAACAATAAAATTATTAATGCTATTAATTACAATGTTTGTACTATTAAAAACATATTAATGTTTGTGCTATTGAAGACATGATAATGGTTACACCAGTAGAGACAAAATAAAGTTTGGTTAAAAATGACATAATTGGTTGTAGGAGGGAGTGTACTCCTCCCTGTTCTGGCAGAAGTACTCGTGCAGTAATTAAATATATTTTAAATACACATGTAGTACTTTGAAATTGTTGAACTAAGCTACATCATATTTTTCATACATTTTGTTGAATGATGTACTGTGTGCTTTTTCTAGAAGAGCTTCAAAATCGGGATCATGAGAGTTTGTTGCTTAGCCAGCAGTTGCGACACCTCAAGCAACTGCTGCACTTGTATACAGTCCTGCTGCAGCTGCATGCACTCCGGGAAGCTTCACCAGACCCTGATGACCAAGATTTAATAATGGTCAGTCCACGTAAATTTCTAGTGTCCTTAAATGTGCCAACAATTTTGTAGCTACTTTTTTTTTTCTCTCTCTTCTCATTCTACACACTAACCATTAAGATTATTATATAGATTTTTGTTTTAATTACGTATACTGTATCTAACTTTCTGCAACATACTCGGTTCATTTTGTCAATATGTTTTGTCACACTTGTCTCACTTTCTCTCCTCTTCATAGTGCCTGGTCTTCATTTCCAGATTTAATTACTATCCACCTCCCATTTGCTTCTTTTTTTGGCTCACCATAGCCCGTGCTACTTGGAATTTTTTGTTCCAAGTAGCGAATCTTAAACAACAACAACATTCTTTTCTGGGGGGAGCCCCGTCGGCTCCCCGGAGCTATCCCAGGCTGATATGCTAATGTCAGACTTTGGCATCAGTCATGTGTATGGAGTTCTTAAGCCTACCGGGGACCACGGCCAGAACCGGGCCCCCTCAGAGAGGCAAGGGGAGCAATGGCCTATAGAAGCCCCAGTGTAGTTGGAAGCATTCTATGTCTGCCATCGACCGGAACAGGCACCCAGAAAGGTAAGCGCCCCAAAACAAACCCCTATTCTGGTTAAAATTGCTACCTAATACCGAACTAGTGGATAGAACTCCCCAACCGAAAACAAGCAAATTAGTGTGACGTCACACACTGCCGCGCCGCTGTCTGCGCAGCTCCCCCCTCCCCGGGAGGGGGAAGGGGGAGCCCCAGACCCCCCGCGCCGGCTACCCACACCTCAGTTCTTGAGGCTGATGCTATAGGCGGAGCCGCTTCAGCTTGCTTTCGGTATCGATGTTACGTCTGCGCCGTTTCGCAAGCTGTCTCGTGCATTGTTTCACCTCCGGCCTGCTCATGCGTCGCCTGAGCCATCCTGGTCTTTGGACAGAGTGCTCGCTTTCCTTTCATCTCCTCGTTTCGTTGTGGCCCCTTCGGTCCAGGATTGTTTTTCCAAGGCACTTTTCTTGTTGGCTTTGGCCTCTGGGGGTCGGGTAGGGGAGCTTCATGCTCTCCTCCGGCGCAGGGGTTTCTGCTCTTTTGGTCGTGGTGATAGTTTTGTTCGTTTGCAGCCGTCTCCTTCTTTTCTGGCGAAGAATGAGACTGCTGCGTTCCGGAGGGGTCCATGGGTGGTTGATGCTTGGTTGGTCAGGCCGGGGGTGCATCATGTTTTGTGTCCGGTTGCGGCGCTTCGCCGTTATTTGCGCGCCACAGCTTCTGTGTCCGGGGACGCGCTGTGGGTTGATCCGGTTTCCCTTCTTCCCTGTTCGCGGGTTCGGGTCTCTCAGGTCGTCCGCAGGGTTATTAGGTCTAGCCAGCCTGCGGTCTATCCCCGTGCCCATGACGTTCGTAAGTTCGCGGCTCTTGCTGCCGTCTTTGGGAATATGTCTTGGTCTGATATTCGGGCGCGGGGATTTTGGCGGTCGAACAGGGTCCTGGCTGCTCGTTACCTTGTGAATGTCCCTGGCCCTCGCCCTCGTCGGGCCTGTGTTGCTTTGGGTCGGCGGTTGCAGCCAGTTGTCTCGGCTTCGAGTTGAGGGGTGAGCGACGACCGCCTCCCGGGTAAGTCCCTCTTTTTCTGTCTGTGGGTAGTTAGCTCCGGGGAGCCGACGGGGCTCCCCCCAGAAAACCAGCGTTGAATGTAATGAAACGCCATTTTCTGGGTGAGTCCCGGAGGCTCCCCGGCATCCCTCCCTCCCTCCGGTCGGCGGTTTTTCGCGTTTTTGACATCCAGCCTCAAGAACTGAGGTGTGGGTAGCCGGCGCGGGGGGTCTGGGGCTCCCCCTTCCCCCTCCCGGGGAGGGGGGAGCTGCGCAGACAGCGGCGCGGCAGTGTGTGACGTCACACTAATTTGCTTGTTTTCGGTTGGGGAGTTCTATCCACTAGTTCGGTATTAGGTAGCAATTTTAACCAGAATAGGGGTTTGTTTTGGGGCGCTTACCTTTCTGGGTGCCTGTTCCGGTCGATGGCAGACATAGAATGCTTCCAACTACACGGGGGCTTCTATAGGCCATTGCTCCCCTTGCCTCTCTGAGGGGGCCCGGTTCTGGCCGTGGTCCCCGGTAGGCCTAAGAACTCCATACACATGACTGATGCCAAAGTCTGACATTAGCATATCAGCCTGGGATAGCTCCGGGGAGCCTCCGGGACTCACCCAGAAAATGGCGTTTCATTACATTCAACGCTGGTTTTTTGTATTCTCTCTACCTTAAGCCTGTTCATTCTATTCATTATATTGTTGTAAATATTGATTCTAAATTATTTTTTATCTTCATTTGGTGAATATTAAGCATTTACAGGTTTCTGATATTTTAATGATAACTTGGAAGCTGTGATGTGTTTGAAAATTTAACAAAAATTTGTGGCTATATGGATGGTTGGGGAAATTAATGTGATTGCCATTTTCATCAATACTCTCGATTATTTGTTATAAGCTTTACAGGTAACCTTTGCAATAGAAAAGTTCTAAAACTAAAATAAAATAAAAAATAAAAAATCACTGCTGTTAAACTACCGGAACATGTACTGTATGTTGTATCCTTTCAGGAATTAGCTCGACTCCTTGTCCTGACACCAAGTGAAACTGAGAAGGTTCTAGCAGCTTGTGAACACAATGGCTACTCAAAGCATTTTAGTACGAGAAAGGTATCGTGAAACTCTTAAGCGAGATTTGTTATTAAAAATACTTGAGTACTAGTAATTGCCTAAACAACACACACAAAAAGAAAGAAAGCAAGACAGTAATGACATCACAGTCCATCCTGGATCAATATCAATCCCTTATCATGACTTCAGACAGACCAAACCCATCTTTTTTTCTTTTCATTTGCAATAATTACTTCTTTTCATGTGTGAGTTAGGCATTTGTTTTCTGCCACATTATTGTGAGTTATTCTCTGTAAGTACTCCAGTGTTTAAGTATTATATTTAGGAGTACCACTAGTATTTCATAAGTATATTGCATTTTGTATTAAAGTTGTGAATAAAATAATAATACTGTAAATCATGATGCGTCGGCTACATCACCTTAAATTCAGAATTAAGATTATGATGATTTAAATTTAAATACTGCATACTGAATAGGTGTTTTGAGTAGAGATGTTGTATCAAAATTATCTGATTAAAAGCCCTTGATTTAATTAATATACAGTGGCGCCTCGATTAACGAGTTTAATACGTTCTGGCACCGAGCTTGTCATGTGGGAAAACTTGCCTTGCTAAATAACAACAAAACTGTCATCGAAGGTGTCTGAGAACCAGCGGGAATGGTCGTTAATTGAGCGAAAGCTCGTCAGTCGAGACATATTTTCTGCGAGTGGCTTGCTCGTTACTCGAAATGCTCGTAACTGGAGCCTCTCATCACTCGAGGTTCCACTGTATTACCTGCTTCATTTTGTTTTGTACTCATGTCCAACTTTATTGACAAGATAAATATGGATTGTTATTTTCAAAAGAAAGAGGAGTTAACTAAATGCTGCAATGGTGCTTGCATAGCATAAATGGTTTATTAATGCAATATATAATTCAGTTTGGTGTATTGTATTATAATAAATGTAGATTTTTAGTTCGTTACACATGCAGCTTATTTTTTGTCTTCTTTTGGGCAATATTGGTATAGTACAGAACAGTACTTCTAAACTGTTTATCCAGGATTATCACGTTATAACCAGAGGAATGCTGTAATTTATTTCTTTTCAGGTAACGTTCTCAGATTCTGCACAAAATCTAACCGTAGGTTCTTTTATTCGCTGTTGGGACGTGTCTGTGGGTACACTAGTGAAGACGAACAGTGACTCGGTGCTTCCTGTTGAGTTAAAAGAAGACATACCATCGGATAAGAAACTAAGACTTGGTAAATGCTGATTAGTTAAATGTGTTTTTTCTGTAGGAATTTTGTCTTTTAACATATGCTTGAAATGAAAGTTACCCTTATGTATATATTGATATCTTTATAAATGAAGTGCCAGAAATATTGAAATGGACTGCATTGAGATAATTTTATGGTGTTAATTCTGGTAGCATCAGTGTTCTATGTTTTCCTGCCTAACTGTGCAATGATATAGTGGTAAGTAGTAAGATGCTCGCCTGGCATTCTGCGAGGGCTTTGTCCTTGGTTCATATCCTGGCCGGGGAGGATTTACTGGGCGCAAATCCTTAACTGTAGCCTCTGTTTAACTCAACAGTAAAATAGGTACTTGGTTGTAAAAACGATTCTTCGTGGGGGTCGTATTCCAGGGAAACATAAGATTAAGGACTTGCCCGAAACGCTACGCGAACTAGTAGCTGTACAAGAATGTAAGAACTCTTTCATATATAAGTAAAAAAAATAAAAAAATTATCTTAAGGAGGCATATGAATTACTATGCCTTTGGTAGTGGCTGAAAAACTTTTGCTCAGATACTTTGCAAGTTAGGTGGTGCAATGAAAATAGAATGAGCCTATGGTCTTTTCTGTCTTGCTCGAATGGTGTGCTACTTTTCTTTTTCCCTGTAGGGATTTTTTATTTTTTTTCGTCTCTTCACAAGTTTCTTGGCCATTCTTTTTTCTGCTTCCTTCTCCTAGGGGTCAGTGCTTTTTTTTCTTTGTTCCTGGAATGTGTTAATTTTTGCCAAAGCCAATTTTCTTTCTCTGAGGAATTGTTGTGAGTAAGCACAGAAATCACAAGTTTAATACAATGAAATGCTATGTTATGGGTAGCCATCAGTAGCTTCCTGTGCTTGCTTTTTGGTTCCCATCATTCCGGTGGGTATTGGATGAGTTTTCGGGCACGTAGTACAAGAGTTAGGGGTGTGGACTAGCTAGATCCTCATGTGACATGGGCTGCTACCTGGTGGTGGTCGACTGAATTTGTGTAGGTAGTGTTTACCCACTGCCCACTATCAGTTGCCTTTTTTTTTTTCTTTTTTTTTCTTATCAAGGTTATTTATTTGTTTTGCTTCACCTGTATTTTCTTGATTTTCTTTAGATTTTTGGGGTTAATCTCCGATTCCCAACCTTCCCTCGACTTCGATGAGCCAACTCAATTATGATCTTAGTCTCCAGTAAGCCTACACAAGTCTAGAGGTTTGGCTGCATTTGTACATGTCTCTAGTACCAGAGAGTCTTAAGCACCGGGTTGCCTAGAAAGGGCCATTTCATTGCATTTAACAGTTTATTTTTTGTCAGAAATAAGGACACAGCGGGGGGGGGATCATAACAAACCCCTGGCATCCAGTCTGTCAAGGTCACTGAAGATGATGGCCCTCGGATAAATACAATTAAATTAGCATATACATTTTAATTATACAGTACAGTATAATTAAATGAGGTATGACAGGTAGGCAGGGCAATATATTACAAGCACTTTGGTCAATAAAAGGGCACCATCCTAAACTCAAAAGCATTAACTACTGCAAAAAAGGAACTTTCTGTAAGTTTATCCCTGCCAATATTTTATGTATATATATATATATTGATTTTTGTTTTGTTTCCCCAGGTGAATTTCTGTATGGATGGTCATGGCATAGAGAGAGTGTCAATTTGTTCAGCAGAGCTATCGAGGCCAGCGGAGCTAACCCCGAGTCCCTGCTGCACGTGGGCCTGATTCACTGGTCCCTCAGTCCTCGCCCAGACACAGTAGCTGTACTCCATTTTGGGACCATTGTACATGCACTCTCATCATTAGCAGGTGAGACTGGAAATGTTTTTGTGTACGGTTCTGTTTTCCTCCTCTTTCTCGTTTTCTTCATTTAATCGAGTATTAGCAACTTTTTTTTTTATGTCTAATATGTTGTATTTTGTTAGTTCTTATACAGTGTGTGTTTAAGTACATGAGAGTTTGTGCTTGCATAGTGGAGGTAGCCATTAGTGAACAAACTAAAATTCTATGTATCTTGTGGTTAACAGCAGATTTGTGCTGATAATTATAATATGTAATATAATATATATAATATAATAATATGATTTACATATTATGTGTATCTTGTGTTTTGCCTTCATATATGTACAGTATGTATAAATATATACCCTCAGTTTACCCATGTTAATACACATGTACAGAAAACATTGGTTCTAAGATTTTTTTTATTATTATTTCTTTACAGAGGATAAAGTTCTCTGTGATATCACTGAACAGAGTCAGTGGTGGAATGCAGTGAGGGACAAGCTGGTGGCCTCAACACAACCCTATCATGCATTCATAGCTGCATTACTCTGTCGGGGCACTCACGCTCGCATCGAAACTCACTTGCAGCTTAGGGCAGAGAAAAATCTGAAGAAGAATAGAAACACCGAAGATGACGTGCAGAACCAGACTGCTGTCACCTCTTATCCTTCCTTGAATGATTGGGAAGGCTTGTCTATGGAGATGGTGGAGTGGAATTTGGTTCTGTGGCAGCTGGAGTGCCTGACGCCTCTGAGCCAACTACTTTCACTTTTACCTCCTAATGGATCTGAAAGAAGACCAAAACTTGAAGTCTCGGTGAAGGCTCTGCTTGACAAGGGTAAAGGTACGTGTTGTATGGCATTGTCTTAATGAAAATTATATAATATATTAACATTATCACTGTGCTTTATGTCAGTCTGAACATTTAAATAATTTACCGATTCAAAAAGGGTTTTAAATTCATTGAAATTGGAGAACAAAGGGTTAACAGTAGAATATGTATTTAAAAATATATTGCATTTCCTCGAGCTGTTAAGGTAACATTTGCACTCTAAATGTGTTTAAATTTATATTTTAAATGAAGACTTTTATATTTATTAATTTAATATAGGTCTTGCTGGTGTTAATGCTTCATATAGATCAGATTCCTCTTTAAGAGACAGATTATTAGTTAGTGTACTGTACATATTTAGCACATAAAATGAATATAACCTTGTATTTTCAGGATATGTTGCAGAGCTTGTCGCTAATTGGTTTATTGGGTCTGGTTTGCCCTTATCTGCCATTGAGAAGGTCCTCGAACAACAAGATGAGCATAGAAAGATCAAGGAAATGGAGGCTATTGAGATAGACAATGACACTGAAGTTTTGACTGAAGATAAATTGAAATCTCCCGTAGATTCTAAAAAAATTGTAGAAGAACTTGGTGCAGAAAATTCTGGATATGAGGAAGTTGAGAGTAAGTACAGTACAATATTGTGAAAGTCTTTGGTTGGATTCCATACCGCTTAGAGATTTTATAGCTCACCCCAAATTTTGTGTTGCTTGCTAGCTAAGGATATACATGTGTAATATTTTATGAGTCCTGCACCAGGGTTGGGTTTCCCAGAGTCCTGAACCAAGGAATGTTAATACTCGGAACCATCACAAGACATATGCAAGGTTTAGGCTTCCTAAGGCCTCCCCTCCCCTCACCAGGGTTCAGTTTTCCTGAGACTTTCATTAGGGTTAGGTCCCCCCCAAGGTTAGGTTTCCCTGCCCACTGGTAGATGACAACAGTTTAAGAAGAGGGCATACATGGATTTTTGTATATGACAACTTATATAGTAAGCCTACCAAGTCTTACTAATCTGAGGGTTGATGCTGTGAAGGATTGGCTGGAGTGCATAGGTAATGGTTCTACGTGATGCTATACCTGTATAGCGTATAAATTATGTCGAATTTATATAATGAAATTTTTAACCTTTTCCTATAATGCTTTTCTCTTCTTTCCAGGCTTATGCCTCCCTGCCCCATGAAAGTGAGAAATGGAATAATGATTACTGTAAATTTTATGGTATTTTCAGAATTGTTGAAGAGAGTTGGTGATAAGTTTCCACACTCTGTGGCAGGAGATTCCATATTTACAAACATGGCGTGGGAATTTGCAGCAGCCTGGCACAAGACTCCAGATGATACCAGTATGCTCTCTAAAGCTTTGACACACTCGGCAAGAATAAAGAATTCTCACATTAGACATGGTATGCTACTTGGTATCTTCTAATTGCTCTGGTGGTACTGTAATGATTTCAAGTAGTTTATAAATTTATTTGTAATTTTTGTTTTGGCTAAAGTTCTTCAAAGATCATGTATCATGTAATATTCTTTGCAGTGACTTCAAGCATTTTGAACTTTTGCTGTTTTCCATCTAAACAAAATTTCTCATTTTTATTTGTGCACGTCCTTGAGGTCCTCAAGGATTTGATCCCATCGTACAGCTTCAGTATTTTCCAACAGTTTCTTTTAAGTTCACATTCAGATAGGGGGTTTAATTTAATACTAAGAGTAATATACTTTTTGTAGAATCATTTAAAAAATATTTCCATATTATTCTAGGAGTGTCTTTAATGATTTGGGAGATATGGGTGAGCCAGTGTGTTCAAGCTGCATCTAGTCTAATGGAGAAGGTGGGGCGTCTACCCAAGGACAGACTCTGCCGACGTGACTTGGGACTTGGGGACCACAGCTTGGCACCAATGTTCCAAATTGCCTTGGGAATACTTGAACAAATCATGGAAGTAAGTTGTCTTTCTGCATGTGTATGTAATAAACTTTGTACAATCTCAACCAGTAGGAGAGAATGGGATGCACCAAACCTTACAGGAAAGAATTTGATTATAAATGATGTTGATTTTTGGGAAAGACAGAGCTTGTGAAAATCCCCATATTTGCTACTGTGGGATAACATGTAAGATCAGTGAAATGAATCACATTTAGATTCATAATTTTCCTTGGTAATTGAAGTAGGACAATACATCTCTGTTCACAGACTTCCACTCACTGGAGCTATTCACTCTTGTATAATTAACAAAAACATGCATGTTTGAAGTTTGTAAACTTAGAAATATATACTTCTCCTTGTAGGCAAACGTAGTATGCGAGGTGGAAAAGCCACTGGTATTGTCAGCTGACAGGTTTTGGAGTGGGCAAGAGGGTTCACCAGCATTGGTGGAGCTGACAATAATGCAGAAGATGACGTGTTATGATCTAGTGTACCACCATTACCAGTTGGTGTCTGTTCTTTATCTCATATCTCAGCATAACCTGAAAAGTGTAAGGCCTCTCTCCTGTTTCGATGGCATGGTAAGTTTTAATACTGTGAGTCAAATAGGTGGCTTCAGTGCACGGATTTGACATTATCATTATTCTTAGATTTACTACATTTAAGCTTTGAATGACATCTGAATTTAAATTAACACTATAAATTTTGATGGTTTTTAGATTTTTACAAAATTTGGCAAGAATAACAAATTTTAATTATTTATTATATACAGTCATAATACATTATCAAATTAAACTTATTTTTAACAATGTATATGCACAAAATAATTTAGTTTAATTCTCATACACTAGTGATCTATAAGAACACTACCAGTAACATTGCATGGTGAAATCTTTCTATTGACTGGCAAGTGAGTAGATGATAGTTTTTTTTTTTCCCAAATGACATAGTTGCAAGTGTATCAATATGCAAGTGATACTCAAGAATTTGAGTTGAAACTGTTACTAGAAATGACCTTCATCATATGAGGTCCAATAAGCTAAGTGCAGTCAGATTCATGTATCTTATTTCAGTGAATTGCCAAACAATTTAAGATATATTACACATTTTGGACAAGACACCGATTTACTTGATTAGAATTTTCACGAGACCATCCTTCTTTTATCAGATTAGAATCCCATTCATTACGACCAGATTGGTTTTTCTTTTTTACCACGAGAGAGATTTTGCTGTGTTAATATGACCAGATTCCTTTTACCTTGTTAACCACTAGGTTCTTGAAGATAATTACAGACTGTTGGTGCTAGATATTGATAAAATGACAACTATATCCAAATGCTTTATGTTGAGCAATTCATGAGAAAAGTAATCTTACCGTCTTTATATGTGCCAAGTCCAGATTCACACAATAACTGAAGGATGGAGAAAAGTGGAAAGTGTTGCCGGGTTTGGTGAAGATATTCATGCAATGGCGTGTTATGTCATATACATAGCTATTATCCCATTGTGTGCTTCTTGAAAGATTTACTGGACTATATATAGTATTGAACAAATCCACAGGAGCCCTGATGAGGGTTTGAACCTGTGCACTGGATGTTCTGAGGCGCAAGGATTTGTTTATTGCTATATCAAGTTAATGTTATTTCATTGTGTATATATAGTATTCATAAATCGAAGACTAGTAATTCACCACTTCACATGCTAAAGCTTCTTTTCACTATAAAGCACGTTACTACTTTCACAGGGTCGTAGTGTGTTATTTAATTCCTTGACAACTAGTTGGACTGTTGGAGGTTACACTGATCCCACTGTGGACAAGGCACGTTTGGCTCTCCTGTGTCGAGTGATTACGGCTGCTGTGTCTTCTCTCCCAGACACTGCAGGTTCTGGCCAGGTAGGGATTTTCTGCAAAATGGATTATTAACAAATCAAGAGAAACCCAGTAGTGAGGTATAAACTCCGAATAACTTGTATAGCAACAGTAGTGACCTTTATTTATTTGTTCTCAGGCCATTTCACCAAGCATCAGTCAAGCAGTAGATCTGGGAAGGGCATGGGGAATCTCCCTTGATATCTTACATCGTCACCATGTCTGTGAGCTGTATACGTCGGGCTTTGATAGCATGGCTGAGGAAGTACGTATTATTTATTGTCTTGAGGTTACTTTGTAAGAAATCATGAGTATAATGTCAATTATTTGCCGCTGAACATGAAAATAATTGTAATTATTATTTTTAGGTGTTGCCAATGGTAACTGATGGGTCATTGTTAGGCTCCCAGTTGGTGTTGCTTGCAGGACAACGGCTGCACTATCACCTTGTCAACACCCCTCGTACTGCGCACCACCTGGCATTGACGTCGCCTACAATAACTGAATGGGTCAAATCTTGTGTAAGTTATACTTATTCCATAATAATTGTAAGGCAGCTAGTTTGTATAATGTACACAAGTCCCTGGTGATCACTCATCCCTGCTTTTTTACGTGCTTGTGTTTGTATTGGAAGGAAAAGTTAAGCACATTTGAATTTCTAATTGAAATTAAACATGTGAAGAAATGAACAGGAGGTACAAAAAAAGTACATCTTTGTGTAGAAGTAGTTCACAGTTCGTAGAGTTCGTAGTTCGTAGAGTTCGTGGTTCGTAGAGGATATGATCACACCACATTTCATGTGGTGTGATCATATACTTTGATAACAAAATCACGTGGCCCTCGTTGGTGCAGTTTTATATTTTCCTTTATTCAACGAATGGTCTGCATTCATCCTTCGTGTAATTCCCAAAATTATTTTAAACTGCTAATTGGTAAGAATGTTTTGTACTTATCTAACAGGATATTGCAAGTCTCCGGTGTCCAAGCGTGCCGCTGGAACAAACGCTGACCCTTCTGACACGTGCTCTCAACCTTCTCCCTGAATCTACACAAGAATACAAGATGGCTACTGCACTATATGGAACCTTAACAGCGTTTATTCAAGATGCTTCCACGTAGTCTTCAGATTATTTGCATATCCTTAAATAAGTAAGGATCATTACATATTTTTAATTATAAAAAGGTCCTGTAAGTTTTCCATTACTGACTAAACTGTGCAGAGAAGGAAAATTCTTGTAGAAATTTGCTTAAAGTTGCAATATCAATTTGATGCAACTTTTACAGAGTTCACTGTGGTTTCATTTAGTTTTGTAATGTTGTGCAGCAGAATGTATTAGCTCTGTTTCTTGTTGAAAATTGGTAGATAGCTTACTTACCTTTTCTCACCCTCTTTGCAGGAAACTGTGATATTATGGAGTGAGCAAGTCAGCAAGGGAGAGCAGTTTAGTGAGCACATTGCCAGGATGCCAAGGAAGCCAAGAAAATTAAGTTGAAGGGTAATATTATATAAAAATTCCATTTTTAATTATGCGGTAGAATTACCATTAATGAAGGATATTGCTGTAATGTGTTTATTCTTAGTAGAATAGAATTTTTATTTTCTTTGCAAATTTCTTGCTTTTTGCTGCCTTAGGGATAGATTCTTTTTATAAATATTACGATAATTATGATTGTGAATCTTTAATGAAGACGTGCCAGTAATATTTTAATACCAAATTCTTTAAAAAATTCAATGGCAGATATGCATTTTGAGTGAAATAAATCTGATAAGCAAGCTCTATGAAATTTGATGCATAATTCTATGGCATCTGATGCTCATCTTTAAGGAATCTGATGCATAACTCCATAGCAAATACTTTATTCATTGCTAGCAGCACCATTAATAAGATTTATTGAATTGCAGAAACCAGGAATTAACAAGTCATGCCATGGCCTTCTGTGAAGGGTTGATAGACTTTAAGCGTTGATAGACTTTAGACTTTAAGAATGGAGAGCGTGCAGAGATCCTTTACTGCTAGAATCCACTCAGTAAAACATCTAACCTATTGGGACCGACTAAAGAGCCTAAAACTGTACTCCCTTGAGCGCAGGCGGGAGAGGTACATAATAATTTACACGTGGAAAATATTAGAGGGGCTGGTCCCAAACCTGCACACAGAAATAACATCACATGAGACCAGAAGACATGGCAGGATGTGCATAATACCCCCGTTGAAAAACAGAGGTGCAACTGGTACTCTGAGAGAGAACTCTATCAACATCAGAGGTCCGAGACTGTTCAACACGCTTCCACTACACATAAGGGGCATAACTGGCCGACCCCTCACAGTGTTCAAGAGAGAACTGGATAAGCACCTCCAAAGGATACCTGATCAACCAGGCTGTGACTCATACGTCAGGCTACGAGCAGCCGCGTCCAACAGCCTGGTTGATCAGTCCGGCAACCAGGATGCCTGGTCGACGACCGGGCCGCGGGGACGCTAAGCCCCGGAAGCACCTCAAGGTAACCTCAAGGTAATCATAGTCCAATTAATCTGGACTATAATCGGTCCATCAGCATTTCAGTTCGCTGGGGTTCACAAAATATATTTATAATTTTTCTTTTTAAAAATCATGTTAACCCCTGGGCAGCGCTTGGGGTTATAACCTGCAACACTGCCAGGAGCAAGAAAAATTTTCAGAATTTTTTTCTTTTAAGATTGTTAAAATGTGTTCCCTGATCACTGGAAAAATAATAAAAAAAATCGTAGGTGACATATTTTGGCCGCAATAGGGTGAGGAAGTCTGTCAAAATTGAGACGTTGACAGATAACGTGTCTCGCAGTGATCTTCTCCACCCACGCTGACAGGCGGGAGTTGCCACAAAGATATTATTACGTAATTATTTCAATGTTCTGATTGATTTTTTTCAAATTTTTTTCCCCCACTAATATTATTCAATAGTGTGTAGTGTGATTTATTTATATAATAAAATATGTAAACCATCGCTATACTCAGAAGTATGGTGTGCACATTAGCGATTCAATTATGTTCATAAAGCGATAAACAAAGTTTTGCTGTTCTTTACACTATATACACACACATTATATATAAGTACAGTATCTACATGTTTTATTCACCATAGAGAACCACTAAGTAGGTATGATGACTTGAAACAACAAGAGTGGGCTTTCACACCCAGCCAGCAAATGCTACCTCCCTCCCTCCTTCAACACCTTACTCGCCAACATTGCTCCTCCCACCATACTGTTTTTCTGTTACTACACTGTATACACATGTTATATTTAAGTATCTACATTTGTGTTCACCATAGCAAACCACTAAGCTGATATTGCGAGTCCGAACAACAAGAGTAGCCGCCACACATCAGCTGACACCACCTCCCTCCTCAACAAGATTCCTCCTCCCACCATACTAAGCACATCGCTAATTATTACAATCCTGCTATTATCAGCATCCTTGTCACTAAATCTTGTAAATGAATAATTTTCCACAAGTCTATTTTGTAAAGAAACATGAGAAGTCGTTACAGGATTTTTAGATGAACCAAACAATGGCAGTGTGCTGTGACTAGCACTGTGAACATCTTGAACAGCATTGTGTTCACTGATATCTGAACATTGTACACAGTCTTTATCACAGTCAGGCTCTTCCTGTAATACTATAATAATTACTTTTATGTTCCAAATACCCAAAAATCCAAAAAACACTGAGATTCTATGCAAAGAATTCAGGCTCGGTTGTCACTATGCGGGAGGCGCTGGTAAACTGAGGCGCGATCGCCGTGCCACCACACGCTAGGTCGGCCATATGCGTATCAACAAACTACGTTCCTTTACTACATTATGCAAAGTTAGGAACCCGATTTGGATTTTACGAAGAAATTGGGCTCACAACCCGAAAAGTTGGCAAAGATGGGCATTCGTAAGCCGAGGTGTCACTGTATTACGCTCTTGAGCCATGCAAGAAGTTTAGGTAATGTTAACAAATCTGTTCCTACTTCAGCATTTTCCTAATCCCTTTACTTTGTTAAATTAATTAATGTGAAAGTCAAATTGAGTTACTTTCTCAATCAAAAGCTACATAGTCTTCCCTGCTTGGTGCCGCCTTTTGCTGATTACTTGCATAATAATTTGTCGTTTGTAAATTAAGCCCACATACTGGTTCAGAGGTCATGTCATTGATAATGATAATTCATACTGGTTGCTTGAATATTCCAGAAATATAACACATTATGGCTTGCGGCATATCCTTCATTACCTTTTAAATGTTATTATGTCACACTGTAAAAGAACACAGGTTTAGTAATTATGTACTGTACAGTATATATAATCCTTAGTGTAGCTGAGAGGTTACAAGGATTTTATATTTGAAAGATGAACTTTAAAAACTTACAATACAGAAAATGCAAGCTAAAAAAAAAAAATAATTATAAGGTAGTTTGCACACTCCTCATTACTTTGTAAATTTATTGAGAAAACAGCTGTAGCTGAAACTGTTTTGAAAGGAATGAGTTTTGGAAGACCAAGTTGTAAATAATCCAGTTATACTTATGATTGGTGCTGAACATATTTTTTAATACCTGCTTATTATACATAGACATATATACTGTACATATTTGACACTAAAGATCTCAGAGAAATAGGATGGTACTGTACTCCAATTTTTGTCACAGTTGCCGTTAATTTCATGCACCTGAACAATTCTGTGACAACACTTGGAGTTTATTTGATAATGTTTCTGTGGTTTTGGGCATAAATATTTGCTGAACACTGTGATAACATATATATATGTTACGAAAAATGTTGTTGTTATGCAGTATTAGATATATACAGTATATGCACTTGTAATATTTTAGTCACTTGATCTTTGTTGTGTAAAATGTGGTCAGGGTTGGTAACCCCCCATAGTTATATTGTGTAATGCCAGCTTTAATTACAGTACTGTAAAACTTACAAAAGATGGTTTTATTCAGAGAACTTGATAAATAATATAATACCTGTTTTCATATTTAGTATATTTTTCAGCACAGGTGCTTGTTTGTGCATCTGTATCCCCATTTTAAACAGTGATGCTTTTCTGGTCTGTTTCAGCGCGATGTGGTTGTCAATATCTCATGCTTTTTCTTTTTTTCAGTCATAAATGTGTTAAGCTATTTTTGGACATGAAAAGTAATACTTATATTGACATGTAACATTGGCCAGAGGAGTTTAGTAACTTCTTCAGTCGGTTATATATTAAAAATTTTGGTTTCGAGGGAAATTGGAATCTTTAAAACAAGCCAAAACTAATAGACAATAAGGAGAGTCCATGTTATTGTCTAATGTTACAATTTTGTGATAAAGTTTAAGGATTAATTTTTTAAGCCTGGAACTTCGATAACAATAGCCTATATACTGTAGATTCAGTCCATAACAGTTGCTGAAAGTGTACAAAAATACTACTGTATTTTCCCAATAATGGTAGACAGATGGAATATATTAAATGAGAGGGCTGTGGATGACAAAACTACCAGGAGCTTCAAAATGTCATACGACAAGTATTATAGGGATGGAAATGCAAAACATTGACTGTTGCAGTACAGTTTTTAGGGGCAACCAGGAAAGAATTTGACAGCCTAACAAAACCAAAGCTTAGGTCTAGTACAGTAGTATAGGATCTGTAGTACAGGTGGGCTATGTCTAACTCGAGATCGAGGATCCCAGGTTCGATCCTCAGGTATGACAGAAGTAGTTAGGCACGTTTTCTTTCACACGATACCCCTGTTCACCTAGCAAGACTACTACTTTAGGACAGATTAGATTTATGGTCATTTGTTTTTGGGTTCTGCAGTGCATATTTTGAACATTTCAAACAGTAGCATAGGTTCTAACATGTTTGGAGGATAAATTGGCTACATTTAGGGTAGTGCAGTTGGATTCGTTTTCTGTTTACATTCAGGAATCCCAGGTTTGAATCCTGTGTAGAACAGAAATGTTTGGGCACATTTCCTTTTTTTTATCTAGCAGTAAATAGGTGCCTAGGAGTAAATCCACTGTTGTGGGGAGAAGGGACCTCAACATCAGCCTAATGTATACAGTATACTGGCTGCCTTACCCCAACAAAATGAACTATAAATTAAATCTAGTTATTACACACAATAGTTTAAGAATAGTAAACCCCAATTATCATGCAACATCCCCTAAAACTACACTCTAAGCAGCCTAAAAGCACTAGTGTGAATAGTTACAATCTGATACTTATACATACACTGTACTGTACTGTATGTGGGGAAATGCAAAAACATCTACCAAACAGTGAGGCAGTAATTGCCAGGATCAGCTTAGGATGTTACCTGTGGCTACAGCCTACAAGGGATGATCTCTTCCAGAGCACTCCATGTGTAAATTCTGTGAGCATGAACTGCATCATGAACTTGCATCTTGCAAACTCTGAAAATACAAAACAAAATGATTAAATCTGGACATATTTTCTGGTTATCTCCAGTTAATTCTTCCCAGTACCCGATACAAGCCCAAGTACAAGCTTCTTCTCCAAGACAGTGAGATTTAAAATTTAAGGAAGGAAGGTGAAGAACCCCAGTGGAAACAATATTAATTCAACACAGAAGCACTGTTGCAACCTGTCCTCAGGGATACCATAGTACTCACATAATGGGATACCATTGTCACATAATGCTCATTGTTCCTGTGTTGCTAATGTTCATAGTTTCCCCTGTGGTAGATTTACAGTTATTAACTATCACCAGGCACCAACCCTTCCTCACGTACCATAGCACGTCCCAGCGTCGTAGACTGCAGAATAATCTGCTCAAATTTGAATGATAATTGTAATTAAATATTCCCCCTTCTTGTGTACTTGCCTATTTGTGCTTATGGGGCTTGAGCTTTGGCTCTCTGGTCCTGCCTCTCAACTCAATCAACTGGTGTACCGAGTCCTGAGCCTATTGGGCTCTATTATATCTACAGCACATTTGAAACTGTATATGGAGTCTACCTTCATCACATCACTGCTTAATGCATTCCATATGTTAACTACTCTGACACTGAAAAAGTTCTTTCTAATGTGATGATAATCTGAAGTAGAGTAGTGGCTATTCTGGCTGGTGTTGTGC